TATACTGTTGGCGTGTTGGATTGACGTGCCTGGACTGAGGAGGGCCACCATCTACGAGGGCTTGTGCAGATTTGAGAGCTTTGGGCTGAAATACAGACACATCAACAGAGAGAAATAAATGGAACTTGTCACCAGTCTGAGCAGCAAACACCGGGGTCCATCCCTCACAAATTATGGACATCTGTATTCCTAATTGCCGTTCTTTCGGGCTGTGCCAGCTGAACGCCAGTGCCAGGAGAGCAATAGCTTCCGAAAAGATGAGATGTCACGTTTAGGTGACAAGAGACACGGATGAGGTATAGGAGCCCCATTGTAAGGAATCTTGGTCCATATGGTTGTTAGATCGCTGGTGACTTCGGGTTTGAGGACCTCCAAATGGCACGCTTTATCCAGACTGAAAGTGCTGTTTTCAACGCAGATGGGTTGATGGTCTCAGAATCCCAAGTGGTTTGGTGGTTGCAGGGCCAGAAGAGTCGGTGGTAGAGACGCATACAAATGGTTAACAAGGTAATGGTAAGAAATGTTGACCTTGATTTGTTTAGCTAAGATGTAAAGATTTTTGAAGGTCAAAGGTGTCCTCATGTAGTGTTTTGGAGTCTGGCTGCGTCTGACCCTCTAACATTAAGCTGCGGCGGCCGGCAGGTTTGAGGAGTGAAGCAAACCAGGGGGAAAGCGAGGAGGGGGAGGGACAGGAAATGGAGAGAGGTGTTTCAGGAAGTTGTCAGGGCTTGACTGATTGATTCCAGATGGAAAGGGTCAGCCTCCACGACCCAGGAAATACTCGCTAGGGGAAAGGAGTTGGCTTGTGGAAGGGGAAGGCCTGGGAGCGAGATGATGTGGGAATACGCACGTTCTACTTCCTTCAAGCCTTGAAACATGTCGAGCTCCGTACTCCTTGGACTAGAATAATAATATCAGCCTTGTCATCGCCCATCAGACAGCAGAGAAGGAAGTTAAACCCGAAGCCTTGACTGAACCAAGTGGGTCTTCCTGTCCATTATGTAGCTTATTCTTCTCGAAGTAGGAAGAATGGTGTAAAACCTAGTGTGTAAGCACAGGTCTCCACAGGTAGGAGCAACAACTCACGTCCGATTTCATGTGGTGGAATTCGTGAACCAAACCCACTAATTTTCACAAATTTAGCTTAATTGGCAAACTTCCCTAGGTATCTCACAGCCTAAGATTTTAATATAAAAAATAGAACTTGCCAGACACGCACACACACACACATGCACACATATTTGTGCGTGTGCATGCGCATGCGCACACACAAGAGGCACATACATTTGGACATAATTTAAAATCTTGTAATAAATTTTGCAGACACTGAAATAATTCAGGTTAATTCCCTTGCTGTCACGAGAGGCCAGCACTAGCCAGCAAAAGATTAAAATTTATTTCCATTGTTAATAGAAAATAATGAAGCGCATGTGAGCCGCCAGGGTGTATCATTTGGGAAATGTTCACTTGGAACTGAGTCCCACTCCACCCAAAAATGACGATGATGAAATTTGCTGGCCAGGGAAAACTGCATTTTGTGGCAGGGATGCTCAAGGAGTGTTGATGGACGGGGCGACAGGCTTGTGGAATGAATCGGGCTCCTCCTGAGTGACCGGTCCTCACAGCGTGTCATCCTTTGGGGGGGCTAGGGTTCCCCTTGTTGCTCTTAGGCTAGGTTAGTAAGGAGTAATGCCTGAAGCTCTCTCTTTCATTTTTGCTTCACATTTGAAGACATATTTTGCACACACGGCTGCCTGTTGCCTCTCCCCCGACTTCAACTCTTTTCAGAGCTAGCATGTACACAGGCAACATTCTTTAGCCCCCACAGTCCCTAACTTGTGACAACGAGGTCCGTTTCTTCCTTTGACTGAGGCATGGCCTTGTGCTCACCGAAATCTAGAAAGCTCTCAAGCCTGGTGCATTTGGCCAAGAGTGATGGATGCCTGTTTTGCGGTTGCCGCTACTGGATATGAACTCTCGAGAAGGACTCTTCTCAGACCTTCACATGTTAACACAGACACAATTGGAAACAGACCTAAGGCTAGACAGGCTACTTCCCTGAATTGTGAGCAATCATACGGGCGATAATTTTCTGAATGACAACTGAGCTTCCTTTAAGTTTGTTCTCTGAGTCCCCAGGGCCTGTCATGACTCCTGATGTGTAGCTGAAGTTCAGTGATTATCCGTTGAGTTGAATGATTGAAACTCATTGACATCCATGTGATGTGGGATTCTCCTCTGTATACTATGAAAATCATTGGTTAATAAAGGAACTGCTTTGGGCTTATATCAGAGCTATAGAGGAACAGAGCTAGGTGGGGAAAACTAAACAGAATGCTGGGAGGAAGGAGGAGGAGTTAGAGAGAAGCCATGGAGCCCTACCGGAAACATGTTGGAACTTTAGCCAGTAAGCCACAGCCACATGGCGATACTCAGATTAATAGAAATGGGTTAAATTAATATGTAAGAGTTATCCAAAGGGGCTGGAGGGATGGCTCAGTGGTTAAGAGCATTGCCTGCCCTTCCAAAGGTCCTGAGTTCAATTCCCAGCAACCACTTGGTGGCTCACAACCATCTGTAGTGAGGTCTGGTGCCCTGGAGATACACACAGACAGAATATTGTATATATAATAAATAAATAAATATTAAAAAAAGAGTTATCCAATAAGAAGCTAGAGCCAACGGGCCAAGCAGTGATTTAATTAATACAGTGTTGTTATTTTGGTTCTGGGCGGCCAGGATGAACAAGTGGCCCCCTCCTTACAACATCCATGTAAAATTTTCATATAGGCTACATCAAACCCTCAGAGTAAGTTTCCTTGAAGTGATTTGTGGAGCCATGGGTCCTGTTTTTTTTTTAACCCTATTAAATTATAAGTCTTATAAAATGTTAAAAGATGCCATGCAGTTGCCTGATAGCTCAGCCAGTAAAATGCTTGGCATGAAGGCACAAGGACCTGAGTTTGAAGACCTATTTTAAAGAAGCTACATGGAGTGGCGTGTGCTTATAATCCCAGAAGTGTGAAGGCGGTGACAAGGAAGATGCTTAGGGCGGCTGTTGAGCCAGCCTAATCTAACTGCCGAGTGCCAGACCAGTGAAAGACCAAAGCCAAGGTAGCTATCACTTGAGAAATGCCACCCAAGGTTGACCTCTGGCCGGCATATGCATTCACATACAAAGGAACACACACACACACACACACAAAAAAAAACAAAGGAACACACACGCACGCACACACACACACACATGCACACACACACACACACACATGCACACACACCCCCCCCCCGAAATTCTCTGCAGAGCAGAAGAAAACAAAATGAGAGAAGATGATTGCTTGTGATTATACCTGACTGGGAAGCGATATGAATTCATTTTCTGCAGGGATCAAATATTCTACCCATGAGAAGGGAATGGATTATGCAGTGAAGTTTTACCTTGGCACTCTCAAATCCGTGGGTGCTGCCATAGTATCTCCTAAGCAGAATGGGGAGGTGGCCATGGGCTAGAAGAGAAGAGCAGCATTTGAACAGGCTTGGAAGTTGGATGATGGGCTCTCAAATTTCATTATGCTCCTCTGTCGTTTCATTGGCCTGAAATTCTTCATAATAAAAAGTGTTTTTAAATAACAGTGGATTATTTCATATGAAGATGCAAACAAGGTCAAGTTCTTTCACACTCCTCTTTTGTTTAATAAGTTAGGAAGGCGTGGCAGAACAATTACAGGCAGGATAGCAAGAGATGGCATTGGGGGCCATAGGCAGAAAGAGTCGTTCTGAAGCGCAGCTCATTAGATTATTCAGCGCCCTTTCTGGAAAGATCTATACATATTCATGAGCATGTATGTAATAAGTGTCTTTCTCCAAAGAGCCGCAGAAAGCCTGCTGTGCATAACTACCTGGGTTGAGAAGGAGCATTCCATCCGGGACACTCTTCTTGCTGGGTCAAGTTCAAAGGTGGTAGGTGTGGCCAGGCAAGCCCTTTCCTGCCTCTCTCTGCTCACTTCTGCCTCTGGACCCCGTTCACCATCTGACCAGCAGCATATATAGAATAGCATTCAATTCCATGGCATTTGTGCCTGGCCTGTCATGTGTGTTAGCTACCATTCTGCAGTCTGCACATAAGACCTCTGAGAGCAGTTGCTATGGTGATTAGTGCTGACGTCTTCCTTTCTGGAACCTTCTCCAGGGTTTAGACCACGGTAGAACTGCACTTGGACAATGTCGTCTGTCTTAGCAACTGGACAGGAGGAGGCAGGAGTGAGGCAAATGGGACACGAATCTCCATCACTTGGCCTGCACCTCACATTGTGGCACCATCTCATCTCATCTCCCGCGGGCCTGCAAGGCCGATAGCAGTAGTTATGTTTCCTAGATAAGAAAAACTGAGATTTCCCTGAAGGTCCAGTGATTTGTCCACGGGGTTACACTAGGAGAAGTGGCCTGGGATTTCGATTCAGTTTCCACTCTATGTTCTTGCTCTTCCTCGCTGCGCACCCACCCTTCCCCTTTCCTCCAGTGAGACACGAAATCTCCTATAGCTCCCATCCTGCGTCTGGGGAACCCGATCTTCCCGCAGGATCTTTATCACAGTTTGCTCACACACAGGGGCAGACAACTGGTCAGCCAGTGTTCCAGGGACCGTATCTGAGGGACAGGATCCCCGTTTCCAAGCTTGGAGACGTGAGCTTCCTGATGGAGGTGCTGTCTTAGTTCTTGCATTGCCCTGTCTGTGCCTGTGACTGCGGCTGCAGGACAGGCCTGCTGGTGGTGAGGTTTCTGGGACCAGCAGACATGTCCCTTGTCATGACCTGGACAGAGTTTGTACTGAAAGACACAAAAAGGGAAACCCATGGGCCAAGGGCTGCCTCTGGTTGTACTCCAAAATGCTGTCCTGTCTCCTACTTGCCTTGCAGAAGAAGCCTTCCATGAGGGCTCCGGGTACCTTGACAGCCTGGTGTGAACCTGACCAAGCTCTCCCCTTGTTGCTCTAAATGCAGGTGGTGTTGTCAACAACAGTGAATGTGGACGGGCACGTGCTGGCTGTGTCCGACAACATGTTTGTACATAACAACTCTAAGCACGGAAGGAGAGCGAGAAGGCTTGACCCGTCAGAAGGTAGGACTGGGAGCCAAGGCAGATAAAGTGTCCGGTACTTGTTCCTGTTGTTTGTTGGTGTATAGACAAAGCTTCCAGCCCAGGCTCCCCTCGAACTCACAATCTAGCTAAGAAATGACCTTGAACTCCTGTTCTTCCTTCCTCCGTTTCCCTGGTGCTGGGATTGCAGATGTCCATCACCACACTCAGTATATGCAGTCCTGGGGATCGAACACGGGGCCTCTTGCGTGCTAAACAGGCCCTCTACCACCTGAGCCACATCGCCTCCAGCGCCGCCATAAATACTGGTAGTCGGCTCCCCTCGACTCTCAGCCAGGACTCAGGTTCCTGCGCCTCTCCGCCTCTTCTCCTCCGACCTGTGTTTTCTTTCAGCGAGGCTGGTATTTCAGGCGATCACGGGCCTATGACATCTTAGTTAAACAGGAACAGCCCCGTGCCAGACGCGTATGAATAAGTGTCAGATGTGCCCTTAAACAGATTGTGGGCAAAACAAAACAATGTGCGGAGTGAAACTGACACTAATTGATTTTTGTTTGCTTGGACAAGAAGAAATCATGGGCGGCTCTGGGTAGTTTTCCAAGTGCATTAAACTAATTAGAAATACTGGTAACTGTTAAATTTCAAGTTGTCCAAAAAATTAAAGTCGATCCATGAACAAACCGACAAGCCTGAGTGAGTTTCCATCTCACTTGCTCCCCTCCTTTTCTGCCTCTCCACAAACTTACGGGTGTTAGAAGACCTCATGATGTGGACGAGAGTCAAATCTCGCTATGATTTTAATCTTGATGCTCTCCTATAGGTTACCCACCAGCCCTCTTCCCAGCTCAGCCCTTCGAATGTATCTTGTATCATTTTAAACAGGAATTAATGAACTGAAAGAAAATGATTGAATCGGTAAAGAATTTGGAGTGGTGTTAATTCTCCCACAGTGGGCACTGAAAGGGAAGGAAAAAACCCTAGAGTTCAGAGCTCTGAGCCCCTCGAGTTGCTTTTGACTGATTGGATGTGATTGACTGGCCGTTCAAAGGGGGCTCATGTTTTTGGAGCCCTGCCAAAGTTCTCCTCCACCTTTGACCCTGTCATCTTGGGAAATGGAGTGATGGATTGACTTTAGTTATGGCCAGAACACCGTATTGGGTTCCTGTTGGGATGCAAAGTCCAGGGGCCTTGAACATGGGCGGGAAGGGAAGAAAGTTGGTTCCACCGAGTTGGGAAAGTGACTAGAGGTTGTCTCTAGGTGGGGTTGAGCAAACCCTTCAACCTCGATAGATCCTGTTTCCTCCTCCTCTCCCCAGCATGTTAACAAGCCTTGTAAATCTTAACATTGTAGGGTAGACGAGGTGGGGAGAGAAAAGGGATTTACACTTTTCTAGAGTGTTCAGTGTATAAAAATGTGGGCAAAAACAACAGCGTTTCAAAAACACCCTTTGCACAATTAGCTAAGTGTTTCGGTCTTTCAAACATAATGGCCAACTCATTAAGCTTTAATGGCCTGGTTAAAACCAACATCCAATTAGGGGAGGACGGCAAAGCAACACAGCTCAACTTGAACTTCTTGGAATGACCACCAGTTTTCCAGGACAGCACCTTTCCCAAACTCCAGACATCACTAGCAGAGGACACAACTGATTCTGTTCCTTCTCATCTTTCTAGCTACACCCTGCATCAAAGCCATCAGCCCAAGTGAAGGCTGGACCACAGGAGGAGCCATGGTCATCATCATTGGTGACAACTTCTTTGATGGTCTCCAAGTTGTGTTTGGTACCATGCTTGTATGGAGTGAGGTAGGTCAAAGCCATTTGCTTGCATGATATCCTTTGGCTCCCTGGTTCTTTGGGGCTGGAGGAGCTAGAAATTCCCAGAGCAGCAGCCCCATGAAGACTCAGACCTCTGTACCTACTATGAGAAGACAACCCAGGGCATCAAGACATGGAAAGCATAACATTTGGGGAATGAATTCCATTAAGTGATAAATATCCATTGCAGTATTATGTAAGATGGTGAAAAATTAGAGTCTAAATATTGGATCCTAGGAGGGTGATGGAGGAAAAAAAGTGAGGGTATTTTTTCCACCATTGAAAATTATGTTTTGGAAAATTTCTAATGATACCAGAGACGAGCATGTTTATGCCATGAAGCTGAGTGGTAAGGAGTCAGAGTATCAGTGGATATGTATAATCTAATGAATTCTGTGACACACAGCCATTGAAATGTCTGGGCAACGCACCAGATCTTAATATTGGTTGTCTCTGCATTATATAATTTTAGGTTTCTTTGCACAGTTCTGTGAATTCCAAATGTTCTAAATTGGATATGTTTGACTTACAATTTATAATCAGGGAAATCAACTAAGCGCATTACTGAAAGAGAAGTATGGGTGCTGAGCTGGGCTTGGCAATGGCCGTCAGCAGTGGCCTCTGTGGTGGTTTGTCTAGTGACTGTCTTTCTTCGTCTCTTCACTTCTCAGCTCATAACCCCCCATGCCATCAGGGTGCAGACCCCTCCTCGGCACATCCCTGGAGTTGTGGAGGTGACACTGTCTTACAAATCCAAACAGTTCTGCAAGGGAGCCCCGGGCAGGTTCATTTACACAGGTAAGAGAGAAAATGATTTCTAAGGCAACTGGTTCCTAGGTCCTCTTTGCTCCAGTTACCAGGATCTCTGTAATCAGCCCAGTTAGTCTAGGTCTTTCTGGAACTGCGGGAAGAATGGACTGAGTGACAGACATCAAATAGGGACATGCAGGTTCAATTCTGAATTTGAACTTTACCCGCAAAGCTTCTGTATGATCTGCTTGATGGCCATGGCAGCTCATATTGGGAACCCACCCTTAGAAACTGATCTCTTTACAGCCATGATGGGGCAGCCTTTTCTTTTTCTTTTCTTTTCTTTTTTTTTTTTTTTAATTTATTATGTATACAGTGTTATGTCTGTCTGTATGCTTGCTGGCCAGAAGGGGGCACCAGATCTCACCACAGATGGCTGTGAGCCACCATGTGGTTGCTGGGAATTGAACTCAGGACCTCTGGAAGAGCAGTCAGCGCTCTCAACCTCTGAGCCATCTCTCCACCCCCGGGGCAGCTTTTTGTAGGAGCAATCACATAAGCATAATCCAAGTTGTTGGCTGTGAGTTCTCTCGACGGTGATTCAAGTGGCCCAGCAGAGTGGTGCAAAGTGTTTCAAACCCTACAAAAGCAGGATCTACCCAACCATCCAGTTTTCACTGAGCATCCCCTTCGCGTTGTCGACACCAAATAAATCAGTTGAATGGCTGCTTTCTCTGGGTGAGGAGTACAGGGGACGCACAGGACCCTGGTCCTTCCGTGTCTGGAGGTTTAGGAACTTGTGGAGAAAACGGTTGGTGGACTGTCCAGCACAGGCGGAGACTTTCTAAGTTCAAGATGGAAGACCTGTGAGTTGCGGGAAGAGAGCCCGGTGTGGGCTGGTATCATGGGATTCAGAACAGCCACCTGGGCTCAGTGTGGCCAGCAAGTAATGGGAAAGAGAAGTTATTGCTATAGCTCCCACTGGGGTACGGGTCACTCATTCGTCCGTGCCTTTTGTGGAATGACGTAATTCTAGCTATGGGATACTGAAGCGAGGGAAGTAAAGAGTCTTTAGTGAAGGGAACTTTCTAGGGCCCAAGGCAGATGGTAAAGGCCATGCATGGTGTGGTTTCAGTCAGGTGTAAATAAGGGCAGGAAAACGGGAACCTCAGGCAGTTCAGCAGGAGGTGGCTCTGAAGAAGGGACATTGAGCTCAGAATAGTACCACAGGAAGGGACAACCCATGGAAATGCACGCCGACCTCACCTCTGCCCTCCTCTGTGATAAATTCATATTGCTTTCCTATTACTCCAAAGCCCCACAGAGCTGGCAAGTCCCTGCTGGTTCCTGGTACTGTCCCTGAAAGTCCATGACTCTGCTGGAGTGATGGGGTGTGCCTGGCAAAAAACGCAGCAAGATGATGAGCCAGAAGTGAAAAAGAGCCCAGTGCCGCTGAGCAGGAGCAAGAATGCCAGAGAATTAGAATGAAGTCCCTGGGGTGGGGGGCAATGGGGAATGAGGAAGGCAGGCAGGATGTGGGGAGTGTGGAAGATGTCAAGCTAAGGGGTATCTAGGCAAGAGTAGGCACTGCAGGGATGGGTGTTGCTATGGATGGGAGGGATCCATTGTTCCATGGTGGAGAAGGCTCCTTGGATTCCAACAAGGAGAGCTGAGAACAGTGAGGAGGAGCTGAGAAGGAGAAACTGGGAGAGGAGAAGCCTGGGAGTATGGATTGTCCCTGAGATCTAGTGAAGATGGTTCCAACTCCAGGACACTTAACCTATACTTGGCATCTCCCGTGTTTTGTCCAAGTTCCCCTGGGAGTAGATGAGGATGCAGGTGAATATTCTAACAGGTACTTTGCAGCCAGCCTTCAGCTCTCTACTGAAGTTGGGAATGATCTCAGCTCTCATGGGACTGTAGACACTTAGAGCCAGATGGGATGTGTGTGTGTGTGTGTGTGTGTGTGTGTGTGTGTGTGTGTGTATGCGCGCGCGCACGCACCTGCACACACGCACGTGTGCACACACATTTGCAGACTTCCCCTGAAAGCTGGGTCTTTTGCTCCTACCTGCATTTATAATTGCCAAAACCTACCTTGACAAATGATGCCAAATCTCTCAACCTCTAACTCTGTATAGTCATTGCCATAAATATATGTTTGAAATTATGTTCAAGATACAAAACCAATAACAGCAGGATACTTTAGCATCCTACGCCTTCTAGAAGAGAAGATGCATATCCTGGATCCCAATAATTAGCTTAAGCCTCAGCAGATATGTAAAAACAAAAAGGGGTTGTTGGAATATCTATCAGGGAGGGACTAACTTGGGGGAAAATCTAGACCAACTTCCTAGAGGAGGGAAGGATACAGGGACATTTGAATGCAGTAGGTTTTCAACTGAAAATATATAGCTTCTTGGAAATAAGCATAGCACCTAGCAGAAGAGAAACCCATGAAGCCATGGCTGCTGTGTGCTATAACTAAGTGTCAGTGTTAGCAAGCTCTCTCTTCCTGCTTTACTAAGATGTGATTGTGCCATGTATTGTTATTGCTGATATGTTCCTGACATTGCCATGCTTTTTGTATGCATTGAGAACACATAATGCTTAGCTTCATAGACATTGAGCGTGCACGCTATGCTCAACACTGATACTTGGGACATGCTAGACCTGCCGCTCTCACCTTCAAAGACACTAAGGTGTGAAGGTGGCTGTACCTGTTGTAGAGTCAGCATGGACTTTTCTCCGTCTAATAAGGTAGGATATGGTTGTCACGGACTGAGGAGAGAACAAAGGAACAGTGTGCTAGAAGCAGGGGTATCATGGTAAAGGTTGGACACCTGGCTCTCCAAGTGATTCAAAACAGAGGTGGGCTTGCAGTGATTCCCGATTTTCATGGTGCAGACACTCTTACCACCATGATTCCAAGCTACAAAGTAGGTTCCTGGAAATGCAATCACCTGCTCTCGCAATCTGGAAAACCAGGACTTTGTAAATGCTTAGGGTGGAATATGGAGACAGTAAGCAGGATGTTAGATCCACACTCAGAGTGTGTCACCGATATCGCTTTTATTCTTACCTTGGTGCCGACCTGGCCTCTGGCTTGAACAAGGAATGGCAAGTGTCATGAGCACTAATTCTCATGTGAGACGCCGGGACTAGGTGTTAGAACCACGGAACGTTGTTTTTGTTGGTTCATTTTTTGAAGCAGGGTTTAACTATATAGCCCAAAGTGGTGTTGAACTTGAGGTCTTCAGGCCTGAGCCTCCCAAGTGTCGAGATGAATTGACTATTCTCAAACTTAGAATAAGCCAAACAGGGCTTAGGATAGGCAGGGCTCTGGGATGGGAAGGGCAAGTTTGATGTTTGAGTCACACCGTGAACACGACAGAAGGCCCGAATGTAGGGAACTTTGGGGACAAGCTGCGGGGGTAGAGGTCGCCTAGGAATATTTCTCTCAACTCATCGAAAACTATTGAGAATACTGTTGTGATCAGACAGTACTTTGCCCTGTAAAAAGCAATATTGGGGCCAGGCACTGGCTCAGTTAGCACAGGGCTTGCCATATAAGCGTGAGACCCTGATACTGAAGCATAGCATACATGTTTGAAAGTGTCTAGGCATGATAGTATGGGAAATCAGCAAAGAGGACAGTTGGGGCTCATTGGCCAGCCGGTCCACTCTAATTGGTAAGATCCATGGTTATCAAGAGATGTAGCCTCAAAAAGGAATCTATTGAAGAAGACACTCATTGTAGACCTCTGGCCTTCACACAGGCATACGGATGAACAGATATGCTCTCATACACGTGAGCACACACACAGCCACACACACACACAGAGTTACATACAGTCACACGGTCTTTCTGGTTGGGGTGCAGAGAAGGACTTAGAAGGCGGTGTGGGTGCAGAGGGTCAAGCGGAGGCTATTGTGGTGGCCCAGACTGGCAACGACAGCAGCTTGGACTGCAGTGCTGGTGATGGGGACAGGCAGAAGTGAGCGGAATTTAGGAAGCAGCATTGACGGGACTTGATGATTGATTGGATGGGGTGACGGTTGGAGAGGGGAGGGATGGAGACAGTGCTCAGGTTTCAAGTTTGAAAAATTGGGTGGGTAGAGTTAGAAGGTGATGTTTTTTAAGGTATAAAGTGCTGTGGGAGTTCAGAGGGAGGACAAAGCACTTCCAGCTGGCGGGGAGGTGGGAAGATTTAATATTGTAAAAATGTCGATTAATGAATACATTTAGCGCAATGCCAATCAAAATACCAGCAAAATGTTTGGGGGAAACTACACAAAGTTCATCTGGAAAGGTGCTAAACTAGAAACCCCAGTTTTGAAAAATGCAGGGGCCTTGCCCCATCCAGACATTAAAACCATGTTCAGCTTTAATAATTAGGTTGTGCAGGAGTGCAGAGGAATGTCCAATAGCAGAAGACCAAAACCTAAAAACCAAGTCTTTCTGCTCACATGCAGTGTGTCTATACTCAACTGCCAGCGTGCTGGGGAGCTGTCTTATGTCAATGTGGAAAAGACAGAGATTTGGTTTACACGATGTGATGGACCAACAAATTCAAAAGAATCAGGAAGAAAGATTCAGGTTTCTAGACGGACCCTGACAACTGGAAATATTTTCAAATTAACTATTGGTCATTAAAATGTAGATACGTTAAAAGATTATACATCTAAAACATAATTGTTATCTTGAAACTTCCTCATCTGGATGCTAAATAAAGGCCATCGAGTCAAAATTAAAAGAAAATGGGACAAGGTATAAAGTAAAATTTGGCCCATCAAAATGTGAGGCATCAAAAATAACACAAGTTATTTAGTTCTGAAAAACATGCTATTTTAGGTACAAGAAGATTTATCCATTTGTTGAACAAAAAGTTAATACCTCCTATTGCCAACTGCCCTTTTTATTGCACTGTGGATAAAGATGTGATCATTAGACATCCTACATGTTAAGAGATGAAGACAAAGACCAAGGAGGAAGACAGCAAATAAGATCTTAATTAATTCATGAATGTGACTGGCATGGTTATGCA